GAGACGAGGCGAGACGAGGAGACGAAGTAATTGCTCACATTATTGCTCACAGTAGGTACTTCCCTGGACGAACTCTTTTACAAGGAGCTCTATAATGCTACTAGTAGCAGTTACTACAAATATAATTACATTTAGATGTAACAGAATGTAATGATATTTTTACATTTAGATGTAATGATATTTTTAGTAATGATATTTTTGTATGCGGTACTATTTAAGTGTTATCTATGAACAGGTTACAATAAGTTTGACGAGAATCAAAACGTATAATATAATACATATAAACGTAAAGTGTGTTATTTTTATTGACTGACAAAATCGATAGCCTTGAAAGGCGGAATGTCGAAAGTAATTTGCGGTTTCTTTGCACACGCAAGATCCGGTACTGTACAAAAATATGACTTTACAAGTGCTATCTCGTTAAACGTTACGCGATGCCAACAAAAGGGGCTACCTTTCATATAAAATTGATTCGGCAGCAGCAACGAGGCGTGGTCAACATAGAAAAAAAAATTACGGTGATACAATTTTAATACACTTAAAGTTTAACAGTACGTGTGTTGTAACATCCGCTTTATATATGTAACACTTTCTCCGTATTAATGTGATGATGACGTGAAGTGCGGTCTTGGCAACTTCGGACGTTAATAAAAAAAATTCCACTGAATTAATGTATTTCTAATTAGGTTTGCAGAGAAATTTAATGTAATGCTTTAAAAATCTGGCATACGCTTCAAACAATTTCACTAAGGCTGGGTTTCTTAACCATTTTGTAGTCATGGACCCCTCTCAAAATTTCAAAGAGCCCACGAACCCTTTATGAAAAGATGAAGAAGGTGAAAGGCTCGCGGGTTGCATTGACGCGCGTCTTAGAGTGGTTAAAACACACGACGACTTTTAGCAGCGATGCAGTTGCGATGCAGTCGCTAATCGTACCTATACACAAGCGCGCGATGCAATCGCGCGTTTGCATCGATGCAATCGTCTATAAATTGCAAGTGTAACGATCGCATCTCTTTTAGCATCGCTGCTATAAGTCGCCGTGTGTAA